TTAAGTAAATAATCAAGAAGATATCCACAAAATACTTTGTTGTCACTGTCTCTTCTACGAAAGACATTTTTTAAAGGGGCAGTGTAATGTACATTTTGTAGTTTTACATTATGTTGTAATGTTATTTCTTCATCAAAAACATGTAGTGTTGCTTTATCTTTCATGCATGTTTTATAAATCCTTTAATCTCCCATTCGGTGCAAAATGCTTAGTGGGACCCAGCACTGCCTTCGAGGACGAAGCTCCTCCTCTGAGCTGCAGTTTTCAAGCTTCCCACAGCAGAGCCAGCTCAGTTTGTGGCAGAAGCAGCTTCCTGTGGCACCTGCCACAGCTTAGTAGGGGGGCAGCTGCCATAGGGTGCCAGAGCTGCCGTGGCTCCTGATGTTGTTTTGGGGGAAATGCCAGTGATGCCGATTTTCTGAAAACGTGTAAGTTATATTGCCTGTTAGTAAATTATTATTAGTTTTGAAATGATGTTGTGATTTAACTATGTAAAACCTGTAATACTTTTGACTGCATTTACGTGATGGAAAGTGGCGGTTCCGTTGACACTAGGTGCCATGGCTGCAGTGGGAGCCGCCACCAGAAGCTTGCTGTCTCTCGCAACCAACCTTCGGCCTCACTCAGCACCCCTCCACCGCAACTCCCCCATTCAGCTCCTTCAGACTAGTCAGCAGCAATTGGCAAACACCTGAACAGTTCCTACTGAGGAGTTACTTCTCCTGCAATGGGGAGTAACCCCTCATTTCAGGAGTTACTTCTCAGTGCAATGCTGGTAAAAAAACGTTGTTCAACCCTTTATGAGGATGTTATGATGACTTTCCAAAAGGCAGAGTGTTGGAAAGAGCAGGACTTTCTTAAAGAGACAGAGGCAAGATTCATGGCATTAAATTGCGAAGTAAAAGTGCATTTAAATTATATTTGATATTTACAAAGTTTTGACAGAAACTGAAGGTAACATAGTTATTTGATTGTGCAATAAAATTGTATTATCTCTCTGGAAAACAAAAACTTTGAGTGTAAACGTCATTTTGTCTCATCTGCCAAAATAAAAAAAAAATTCTTTAAAGTGGGAATTCTTTCTATACATCTCAGCTCCCAGAACTTCGTTGTGAGCGCTTTCTCTTGTATATTTTGCATTTATGTGACTTTAGGCACTAGGTTTGCTCATGAGATCTCATGAAATTGATCTTGTTCGGTGTGTTTTCTGTTTCATCATGCCTCAATTTACAATACGTGAAAAAAAAAAACAGCAATATGCAAATAGCAACAGCAAAGACATTCGATATTAGAAAAATTGTACAAATAACAGCAGGTAAGTGAATGCATATTAAAATTGATGGAAGCAGTGATGGTGATAGCATCTAACAGCTACACAGAGGGAGGACATATGATACTACTGCTTTGTGCACCTATGCAGCAGTGTGTCACTAAAGGAGCTCCGCAGTTCAGTGACATGTCTCATGCATGGGATGGGAGAAATTGTCAAGGAGTGACGATATTTCAGCCAGAGTTCTTCTGTCTTCCACCAGGTCACAGGGCCATCTTAGGACAAAGCTGACCTTCCTTTTAAAAAAACACATTAACCTTATGGTTAGAGGTTCATTTTCTGAAGTAATGTGTTCTTAAAGATAATAGGCTAACTAATATTAATAACAGTAGCTTCACATAATAATTCAAGTGTACCTTTTTTATCTGAAAATGTGGGGTTTCTCTTTGTTCTCTTGATACGTTTTTGGCACTGGAAAACTGAAATGTCTTCATTTGAATTGAGCGCCTCCTGATGTTGTAATTCCAACTTGGATAGTTCAGTAAACCTCTGAAAATATGCTCAGTGTGGCTGCTCTTCATAAAAAGAAAATAAAAAAATAAAAAAAATGCTGGGAAAGCTACAAGAGGCAGATACATTTTTGGTATTCCGGTAGAAAATATTAAATTAAATCAGTGAAATAGCTAGTGTTGTTTGTGTTGAGTATGTTCATTTACTGTTTAAATCTACCATCGGGAGCCAGGGGGGGGGGGACATCTCAGTTGTGATCAAACCATAACGCGGCATCAGGAGTCAAATTTTCCTGTAATCTCAGTTAGAAACAGGTGCAAAAATAGGCAAGCTCATCTGAAGTTGGGGTAATAACCTGGAAAATCTAACGTTCCTAGTGAATGGTCTCATATAGTTGGACTTCTTGCCTGGAAAGTTAGAGGCCTTGGGGAACGCTTCCCTCAAGTTGTAGTTCCGATTTGAAAAGTTGGAGATCTCCACAATCCACGTCCACGCCAGCAGTAAGAGGTCAGATTTCCAAAAACACTTCCCCTGTTGTTGGAGTTCATAAAATGAAAATATGAAGATTATAATTTCATATCTGTTATGAATCTTCACGATAGCAAACATGTGTTTCTGATATACCTATTTTAGAATTTGCAGGGGGTGGGAAGGGGGATGTTAGTTTAAAAAAAAAAAAAAAAAAAAAAAAAAAAGTGGCTTAGGAGAAAAAAATTTTATTCCAACGTCCACACCCAACTCCCACAACCTCAAACCACGTGTGTTAAATGTTAAAGACCTGCACTTAATGAAATGTTATACTGTAATAGAGTTTGAGCAAAATGTAAGACATATATTAGTTCATTTTATGTTCACAGTAGCCATTTCAGATACTGAACTCAGGGCAGCTTGGTGACCTACATAGGGCACAGTTGTTATTTTCCAGACTGGAAACTCAAAAAAATCTGACCTCCGAGTAAACCTCCCCAGAATATACAACCTTTGTAATAAAGGATTTTAAGCATATTGTGATAAAAGCCACCTACCCTCTTTTCAGTTCTTAAGCATTTCATTTGTTGTGGCTTTACCAGGTAAATTTGTTTAGTAACTAAATCCATTTTCACATCTATTTATTTGTCTTTAAGTGATGTTCACATGGAAACACTTTAAGCTCACCAATAAACATGTGCTTAACCAATGAGATCATGACAAGACCAGCAAAGTGAAAGAAGCACCTCTGGTTAAATGCTCCCCCCCATTTCACGCCTACTCGACAAATCGGCTGCGTGACTTCCCGTTGCATATCAGCAGTGAATTGGTTTCAATGCCCCCAACTCTGCATCATAAAACTGATGTGGAAAGAATTGAAAATGCTTTTCAAGTCTTGAGGAGGAGCCACTGTAACAGTTTAGGGAAAGCTCGTAGCACCAAAGGGTGGCTACGAGTATTTAAATGTTTATGGCAGGAGACAACTAATAGAAATTTGTCTCTCAGTTGTGTTTTTTTTTTTTTGACTCCTGCGCCTCACGCTTCAACTTTCTGAAAGCTAAGGCTTCAAATGTGTTTTCTCTGATGAAACATTGTCTTTGTTCTCTCTTGGACTGCAGAAAGACAGTGTGATTTTCCCGAGAAGAAGCAAGTTTTAGCAGGAGGTGCACGGTTTAAGCAAGAGGAGAAATGTCGCAGAAACCTAAATTTCGATTGTGAGATTAACTGCTTCGGAGGAAACCACTGCACAAAAGTCGGTAAGAAATGGAAAAGGAAGAACCAGCATCTATGTGATAATCACCACCGTCCATGTTTTAATCATGCTGATTTCATTCTCATTCATGTTACGAGTAGCTATTGATTTATTTCTCTGTGTTTGATGCAGATTTAGCATAACCCAACCGAATGATCAAAGCGCCGAACTTCCCCACGAATGCATGAACAAAAATGTCAAATCAATAGTTCACAGGTCAATAATTCCGCGCATCTATCACACATGTTTGTTTAGCCTGTGAATAATAGACAAGCCGAATTAGAAAATCGAGTTATTACCGGCAGGGAAGAAAATGCAAGAAAGATACTGTTCTCTGAAGTCCACTCTTAAATTCTGGTGAATCTAGAATTGTTCACATAGATGTTCAAATTTATTGTCCTTGATCAGTAATCTTAGACTATTTTAACAGAGTCAGAGGCGTGTTGTTTTATGATGAGGCTGCAGAGCACACTGCCTTTAGCCCCCATCACCCTGCGCTCTTCAGGGGCCTTCTGCCCTGCTGCTGCTGACATTTAGGTCCACATGAATCAATGAGACAAGATGTGGTGGGGTGCCTGATTTTGCAGCAGCCCCCCCACATAGTTCACATTTAGCCCACACTATACAAAGGCAGAATAATTGCCTGAAAAAAGATATATATACATATATGTATCTTTTCTGGCTTTATTTAAAAAAAACACCATATTTTAATCAGTCAAACGTTCAATACCTTCAAGAAGAAAAGCGTCAATTATTGATTTGTATCTGTAACTCTTTTGTGTTATTGACAAATGCGTGTATGATGACGGACACAGGAGGAGCCGTAAACTTGTTGGTCTAAAGCAAGTCAGACCTTATGTTGCCGATCAGATTTTATTTATAATTCTTGTCGGCTGCAGCACAGCAGACAGATTGTATTTATGTCTGGGTTGTTTGAGTCCCTCCTTAAAGAGGCAGCATTTTTTTTTTTTTTTTTTGAAAGTGCTGTTTGGACTACATAAATGCCAGAATAATTTGCACCGTTTAAGGTGCGTGTGTATGTATGCGTGTGCTTTGTGTGCGTGTGTGTGACGGGGAAGGCCAGGGATTGATTAGAGCTTTCACTCTCAATGTGGTTAATTGCCCAGTGAGGCTTAGCAGACGGTGCTCGCTAGATTGATGTCCGATAGCCAAGAAGAGGGGGAGTCAGGATGTGATTTTTTGTTGCGTGTGTCTTTAGGCTTGTGGGAGGGTGGGGTGCTGGCAAAAAAATAAATCCTAAATTAATGTTGAAAGACTGAATGGTTAAATATTGTACACACATGCTGAAAAAACCCAAAGGAAAATCCTTTAAAAAAAAAAAAAAAAGATACGCTAAATTAAGCCTTTATCGGCGTATCTGTTGAAAATAACAGAGGAAGCACCAAATATTAATTTAAACAAAGCACAATGTCACCTTTTGTTTCATTTTGCAGTCACAGGATTTGGAGCTGTGAAGTACAATGTCCTGATATTTTTTTAATTTCTTCTCTACTTTTTTGAAAACGATTGTCTCAGTGTGCACCCCTCTACAACACATCATATGATTTTTACACTTGTTGAATAATTGGAGAACTGGTTTAGCTGAAATAAATTAAAATAACATAAACTGACATGTAAATTGTGAAATTTGAACCAAATATTGCTGCAGGTGTGGGGGGATAAATAAATGAAGGAATACCAAATGGCTTCCCACTAATTATCAGTACTAATAACTTGACGTCTAATTCCTAAAGAGTGGCAACACATTTTTAGATATTGCATGTGACGTGCTTCCTTTTATTTCATGTAGGAGCTTTCTGTCTTGACAGATTATTTTTGATTTTCACAGCGGAGCCACAAATAAGCATCCCCCTCTGCTTAAAGAGACTTTACTCTAAATGAAGTGGTGCGCGCCGGCTAACATATCAGAACGTGTCGCTCCGTCACAAAGCAAGTGACGAACGCCAGCATTAACTTTATCATATTCTTTTGCACTTGTTGTAGACAGGGTTCATAAAAATGTTTGTGTTATGATACTGTGGGTGGACAGAGAAGTCATAAAACTGTGGCTCTCACAATTCACGTCTTCTAGTGCAGACTGTTAAATCAACAAAGAAACTGAAGGGTGGTACACTGAATATTAAATATGTAAAAGAAACAAAAGAGGAAGAAATTGGAGTAAAAAGACTAATTATGAGTGTCTTGATGGGTTCTATTTTTGGATTTGCAAATTAATTGACATGATTACTATAGTTAAACATTAATGTTTCTTAAAAAAAGGGGGGGGGATTTGATATGAAATTGTGAAGTATATTTTTTATCTTTACAATGCAGTAGGTTTACGCCCTCAAGCTTCCAAAGACTAGTAGGAAATAAACCAACTGCAGCTGCAGTATAAAAATTATAGCTTTCATGTACAGTTTATGTGAAGAGGAAGTACAGGACAACAGGCTCGTTTTAAGGAAGCATTTTCGAAACCAAAAAGCAGCTAAGTTAACAAAACGTTACCAAAAATGCTTCGACTTGCTTCTGGCTGCGTTTGCACAATGGATTCCTGTTAGCTATCCTTTGTGACACACTATTCCAAGAGACATATCACTGAATGACCAATCAGCCTCACCAGGCTCTGTTTCCTGGTAGCTGGAGGGTAGAAAGAGACTTTGGCAGAGTTGCATTTCCTAGAGTTACCCCTATTCCTAGCCCAACAGAATCACCACCATAAAGGTAGTAGCGTGAACAGGAACTCCGGGGAAGTCCAGACCAAACGATCCGTTGCGTTGCTGAAGAATCAAACTCGGGTCTCAAGGACAAAAATTTGGTGAGGTATTTCACCACATGACTAACCTGAAACACAATATGGTGTGTTTCGAAGGGCCATCTGGAAGTCCTTGAGAGCAGAAACAAAGAGTTGGCACTTGAAGAAAAATGCTCAGATGGTGAATGAATAGGGCTAGGTATCTCTCTATCACCTTTTTTTTTCCCCATCAGGCACACGTAGCTGCCATTGCAGGACTGTTTTTGCTGTAAAACATAACTCATGAGTTTAAAATCCAACTAAAAAGCTAATCATGTTGAGCATTCGAAACATTTAACTACTCATGGCTAAAAGACACTTGTGAGGAATAATGCAGCCATTGAATGCTAATTACACAATGTAGGTCCAGAAAAGCAGTTCTGAACTGTTTTTTAACCTATTTTCAATTTATTTTTTAGCATTTTGGAAATGTAGAACACCTTAGTCTTTGAAAAGGATCTGTAGTGTTGTGTGCCTTGGTGTGGATGATGACAGACACCTCAGAGGTTGCAGCGGCTTTAGGAAACCCCAGCTGAAATTTGAATCTTCGAAGCACTCATTAAAGTAAAGTTAACCTCCCCCACGTCTCCCACCTCGCCCTCTTCGCTTCTCAGGGGCTCGTTGGGATCACAAACACAATTTATTGTTCAGAGGCCCCTCCAACACACACAGACACACACCCCCCCTTTCTGAAGGGACTTTGAGAGTCCCCAATCTACCACCATGGATAATTGGACACCTTCAGCAAGAGAAATCCCCAGCTGCAACAAGGCAGGTACCAGCTGTGTACGCTCCTATCGGGGTTTATCAAACACTGGAGATGAGGCTGGGAGAGACAAGGGCTCAGTGAAATCTCAAACCAGTTCGACTTGCAAGTTGCACAATGCATGTTTAACACGGTCCTTCTGATTCTGTCTATGTATATATATATATACACACACACCCTGAGGCTCCAGTGTGACGTTGTCCTGAGGGCACGTTACCAACCATACCCCAAGTTCACCCACCTGGAAGCTAAATGCAAAACTGTCTGAGGATCAGTCAAGGAATGGCCTGTCCTAATTTCTGCCCTCGAGGCTCATGTTGGGTTTCACTAATGATCTTCTGTATTTCCAGGTTCGTTTGAGTTCACCTGGCTTCTGAAGAATTTAACCTGGCCAACGGCAGAGTTAAAAAAAAAAAAAAAAAAAAAAGGATGCATATTTTAAAAAGGTTCAGTGACGGAGGATTGTCTGTAGCTCTTTATTAGAGCTCCTCGTTCCAGGTTTCAGAGTCTGACTTTGTGAAGATTTATTCTTGTAGCCCGTCGTGTTTCCGGTGACTTCTTCAGTCCTTACGGGTTCTTAAGCTTTTTGGAACACAAGTTAGCGCCAAAGCCACTTCCTTTCTAACTTCAAAATAAGAGTCATAAACATAGAAGGGTGTCAGTCTTGAAGCAAACACCTTTTTAAAAAAAATGGATACAGTGACTTTTATTTATTTCACCAGCAAAGTTCTAAGCTGAAAAGAAGCATTTTCTCAATTCAAATCATACAGCAGGCCCAGAAAGATCTTTTAGTCCCTTTACATTTTTATTTCAGTTCTCTGTGCTGTCGGTCCAAAATCACTTTTAGTTTCACTTATTTAGCTTTTTCATACTGGTTACTTTGAAAAGACACAAAACATGTCATATTTGCTAAGCTTAAAACTCCAGAATTATACGGGATTATTACTTTGTTCTCAGACATAAAGCCTCGAGTTTAAAGAAAAAGTGTACCTGTGTTATTATGTCTTGGCAACACACCCATTTATTCCCATTCAATCCGATACTGTTCAGCAATCTTGTCACCCATTCTCACGCCATACTAGTGTGAACCGAAGTTTGTGGTGGATGAGTAATGGACCATGAATGTCTCATAAGCAGGAAGAACTGTTGTACCAGTGCCCCAGATTTTTGTGTCTATGTGTAGCCCTGCAGGGAACAATACCAGTCAGACACAAAGATGCTTCAGTTCAGGAATGACTGACTTACTCGTGCGGGTCAAGACCTGCCACAGGTGTGGCGGGGTGGGGTGGGGGGGGTCCGAGGCTGAATAAGCTTGCCCCCCGATGGTAGACAGCCACAGACTCTGCAGCCCTCTTTCACCCACCAAAGACACCTGCACTGGATACAAAAGCAGTCCCTCTCCGATTCTTTCAGAGCCCCCGAGCAGCGAGATGCAGAAAAAAAAAACAAAAAAACACACTGTGAAGGACGGCGCAAGTGAAAAAGAAATCAAGCTGGAAGGGCTGAGGTGGGGGGTTGCCTCAATCACAGCCATGCGGAAACAAAGTAACACAAACTCAACCCACAGCAGGGAAACAGCTGGAGTGCAGGGGGTAGGGGGGTGGGGGGCATGGCTTGTTGGGTGGTCCAAAACAGACAGAAAAGAAAGGGTGTGAGCTGGCAAGAGAGAAGTAAGTGAGAATGAAGGATGCAGAGAGAGTGTGGGTTAGAGATGTTGGAAAACTGAGGCTTTTAAAGAAGAAGGTGACAAGGAGAACTGCAGCGTCTTTGGGATTGTGTTGCTTAGATAAGCACAAAGGAACACAGAATTATGATATAAAAGGAAAAATAAAAAAATTATTTAATATAAAAAAAAAGCGGGGGCGTCATGCAGAGAGCAAGGAAACAGCTAAATCAGATTGAGGTCTAGACTTTGACTGGACCATTCCAGCACATCTCTACATCTTGATCTGAATTGTAGCTGCGGCTATATGTTTAGGGTTGTTGTCCTCTAGTCTTTTTCGGCCTCCGACAGGTTTTCTCTCGACCTGACATTCAGCTCTATCTTCCCATCAACTCCGATTAGTCTTCTTGTGAAAAACTATTGCCACGGCATGATGATCATCGTGTTTTATATTTTTAGGGTGATGTGTATTGACAGTTTTCCTGGAGGTTGGTATGCAAGCAAAAACATTTTGCAGCCATCTGAAAAGAGCATCTTCTTTCTCATGCTAAGCCAGGGGAGTCAAACTCCAGTCCTCAAGGGCCGCTGTCCTGCAGTTTTTAGATGTGCCACAGGTACAAAACGCTCGAATGAAATGGCTTACTTACCTCCTCCTTGCATAGATACGTTCTCCAGAGCCTTGCTAATGACCTAATTATTCTATTCAGGTGTGGTGCAGCAGAGGCACATGTAAAAGTTGCAGGACAGTGGCCCCCCGAGGATTGAAGTTTGACACCTCTGTGTTAAGCTGTTGTATTATAATGCAACCGTTCTTTAAACACCTGGTCTGTTCACTGAAACTTCTGAAACAAGCGGCTTCCACCGGATTTCATAAAGGGGCGTCAGAGAAAAGAGGGTTCAAATACAAATGCACACCACACTTTTCAGATTTTTTGCAATCAATAATGATTGCTTAAGAACCATCTATTGTTCTGCTTTCACTTCACAATTAAGCAGTACTTTCTGTTGGTCTATCACCTACTAGAACATATTTTAGAGGTATAAATTATTTTGCTTACTGACTTTCCTTTTTACCTTTTTAATTCTAATTAGCCGAGAGCCTCTTGGACAAATGGGAGCTGTGCTTTTCAAAGTTGTGTAGGGGCTACTCCTGCACATAAACAAACTCCTCACCGATGATAAGCGGCACAACACAGAATAAAATTTCTAACGAGTTTGACCTCCTTCTATTCCGAGCGCACCAAAAGAACACTTGCTATTCCCAGCAGCTGTAAACCCAACAAAAGCGACGAACAATTAGACCATTCCACTGACTCTTTTCCCGCTTTTTCGTCGTGTCCATTTTAAAGTTCAGTTCAGACGGCGCTATCAGGACGATTTAATTAATCCTTTTGTCGTTGCTGAAGTTAGAGTGTCGGTTATTAAAGGGAGGCTTTTGATAACCTCCTCAACAAAAGAGACTCAAACACCGAAGCCAGCATCCCTTTGCGTTTTTCCTCACAAATCTTATCGCACCAACGTTTTTTTCAAAAAAAAAAAAAAAAAAAAAAAAAAACGAAGGTAAGTCATGCGGGAGGTCCATCACATTTGCATGTCCCCTGGGTGCTCGCTGTAATTTGGTTACATATGTCCTCTCCCTAGTAGGCTGGAGTTGGCTTAACGTGGAGCT